CCTCCTCCTCCTCTTCTCCTCTTCTTCTTCTCCTCCTCCTCCTCCTCTCCTCTTCTCCTCTTCTTCTTCTCCTCCTCCTCCTCCTTCTTCTTCTCCTCTTCTCTTCTTCTTCTCCTCCTCCTCCTCCTCTCCTCTTCTCCTCTTCTTCTTCTCCTCCTCCTCCTCCTCCTCCTCTTCTCCTCTTCTTCTTCTCCTCCTCCTCCTCCTCTCCTCTTCTCCTCTTCTTCTTCTCCTCCTCCTCCTCCTCCTTCTTCTTCTCCTCTTCTCTTCTTCTTCTCCTCCTCCTCCTCCTCTCCTCTTCTCCTCTTCTCCTCCTCCTCTTCTTCTTCTCCTCCTCCTCCTCCTTCTTCTCCTCTTCTCTTCTTCTTCTCCTCCTCCTCCTCCTCTCCTCTTCTCCTCTTCTTCTTCTTCTCCTCCTCCTCCTCCTTCTTCTCCTCTTCTCTTCTTCTTCTTCTTCTTCTCCTCCTCCTCCTCCTCTCTTCTCCTCTTCTTCTTCTCCTCCTCCTCCTCCTCCTCCTTCTCCTCTTCTCTTCTTCTTCTTCTTCTTCTCCTCCTCCTCCTCACGTTGAGGTCAAGATTGTCTTCTCAGACTGACAGTGGCTTTCCAGGGTCTTAGATGAGAGGTCTTTTCACATCACCTGCTACCTGATTCTGTTCGCGAGAGATACTAGAAATTTACACCGGGACCTTCCGCATCCCAAGCGGATATTCTGCCACTGAGGCATGGCCCCTCCCCAAGCCCCCAAAATAAGGAATTGGTCTGAAATGTTAGCAGGCCATTTCAGGGGGTTGGACCGCTTTGTCTTGGGGAAATATTTTTACTTTTGAAGACCTTTAAAAATACGTTTTCGAGAAAGAATCCAGAGGAAGGCCCTCCTGGATCCGTTCGTGGTGGAAGACAGTTTTATTTGAAATACTGTGTACAGTTCTGGTCACCGTATCTCAAAAAGGACATAGGAGGGCTGGAAAGAGCACAGCGGAAGGCGACCAAGGCGATGAGGGGGGTCGGAGCACCTTCCCTCTGAGGAAAGGCTGGAGAGTCGGGGACTTTTCCGTTTAGAAAAGAGACGACTCGGAGGGGGACACGAGAGAGGTTTATACAATTGTGCACGGGATGGAGAGAGTTGATGGAGAGATTTTCTCCTTCTCCCTAAAGACTCCCTAAAGTCCTGCCAACCTAGCAGTTCGAAAGCAAGAAATTGCAAGTAGATAAATAGGGACCACTTCGGTGGGAAGGGAACAGCGTTCTGTGCACCTTGGTGTTTAGTCATGCCGGCCACATGACCACGGAAACTTCTCCGGACAGCGCTGGCTCTTCGGCTTGGAAACGGAGATGAGCACCGCAACCCTAGAGTCGGACTCGACTGGCTTTCGAGCAAGGGAACCTTTACCTTTACTTTTTAAAGACTGGAACGGGAGGGCATCCAACGACACCGATGGGCAGTAGGTTCAGGACAGACAAAAGGAAATGCCGCTTTACACAGAGAGTGATGAACATGTATAATTCGCTGCCAGAGGATGTAGCGATGGCCACAGGAATAAACAGTTTAAAAGGGGGATTAGATAGATTCGTGGGGGGTAAGTCTGCAAGCCTGCGAATTAATAACAAATGGATATTTTTCTTTAAAAAAGAAGCTGTTTCTTGTGTGTCAGAGTAGCAGGGAGCGAATAAGAAAAATCACACCAAGAGGGGTTTTTTTCCCCTCTCCTAACAAGGGATTAGTCCTTCAGATGCCTTCCAATAACAGCGGGGCTTTCCCCTGATTCAAGGGGCACCTTTGGGTGGGCAGGGGCCCCGTCGTTCGTAGAACAGATTGAGTCCTAAGCCTGGCAACTCCTTTGGTGTCGTGGTGAAGTGCGCGGACTCTAATCTGGGAGAACCGGGTTCGATTCCCCACTCCTCCACTTGCACCTGGCTGGATGACCCTGGGCAAGCCGTAGTTCTGAGAAGAGCTGTCCTTGAAAAAGAGCCGTTTCTGTCAAGAGCTCTCTCAGCCCCACCTGCCTCCCAGGGGAGGGGAAGGGAAAGGAGTTTGTAAGCCGCTCTGAGACTCCGAGTGAAGGGCGGGTTTAGATCCAATCTCCTCTTGTTCTTCTTCTTCTCTTCTCCTCCTCCTCCTCCTTCTCCTTCTTGAAACTGCACATGTTCTTCCTCGCTCACCCATCTCTCAGAAAGTTCCCTTGCATTCCAATTTTAGTTATATCCCAAGGCGTTCAACTGAATGGGTTCAGGCACAAGCGATAAATGAGGCAGATGTCGTTTAATCCATCGATGGCCCTAGTTTTCGGGTGAGGGGAGGGTGACCGACGATGCCTCCATTGTTAAATTCCGGTTTCCCAGAGGGACGTGGCTGAGGTTTCTAAGAGGGATCAGGCTGAGGCTTCCACTGTGTAACTTTCCGTGGGATTAAGGGAAAGCTGTTTTTATCCCGCCGGCCATTTCAGCTGTCCTCAAATCAGAGGAAAGGAATGTACCCTGCCACCCCCCCACCCCCCCAATTTTTTAAAACTCAAGTGCAGGGCACCTCATAGCTCAGTGTTGCATTTCCAAAGAGGTCGAGCGAGAAGTAACTGCTTCCCCGTTTCTCCGAGGAGCGCCCCGGTGTAATCTTGCGGCACGAACGGGCCGTTCGGCCTGCCAAAATGTCTCCTTCGGCATCGTCACCAGTTTGGTGTAGTGGTTAAGTGTGCGGACTCTAATCTGGGAGAACCGGGTTTGATTCCCCACTCCTCCACTTGCACCTGTTGGATGACCTTGGGCAAGCCACAGTTCTGGCACAGCTGTTCTTGAAAAAGAGCAGTTTCTGCCAGAGCTCTCTCAGCTGCACCTACCTCACAGGGTGTCTGTTGTGGGGAAGGGAAGGGAAAGGAGTTTGTAATCCACTCTGAGACTCCGTCGGGTAGTGGAGGGCGGGGTATAGATCCAATCTCCTCCTTCTCCTCTTGAGAATGGGGGAAAAAATGTCTTCCCTTTCGACAGTGAGCATCGCCAGCTTCGTGACGGTGAAACGGCCCGGCGTGACGGGGGAGAACAACAACGAGGTGGCGAAGCTGGTGAACACGCTGAACACCGTCCCTTCGCTAGGCCAAAGCTCAGGACCCATCGTCGTCTCCAACAACAGCCCCGCCCACGGCTCCCAGAAAGTGGGCGTCTCCGAATCCTCATCCCTAAAAGGTAAGGTCTGCCGGGGCCCCGAGGGACTGTCCCAGATAGCCTCCTGAGAGATATCGGGCTGTCCTCAATAGAGATGTAAAATTTCCGGAAATTTTGAAGCTCGGAAAAAAAAACGGGTTTTTTCCCAGTTTTTTCCGGGGGGAAACGGAAATTTTCGGAAAAATTGAAAAAATGCTACATTAGCATTTCTTTTGTCTTTTCTAGATTGAAAGTCATTCTGTTACTTTAGGAACATAAAATATGACTATGGACATTTTTACTTGGCATGAAATTATCACAACTAGCATATTAAAAATATAGCGTATCCAAACAATTATTACAAACAGAATATATATATATATTAGAAATTATTTGGAAAATATTTGAACACCTTGCCTTAAAATATTTTATCCATCATGTTAAAATAAAACGTTCCATAATCATTTTTTTTTCTTTTTTCAACCAAAAAGGCCCTGTTCCCTGACCTGGTGGAACTCTCCGCCAAAGAACATCAGGGCCCTGCGGGGATGTAACGCAATTCCTTTAAGCTTTGGCTAAATTTGGCTGCTGCATCCGTTAGTTTGCTCTCGAGCCCTCCTTCCTGAGCTAAGACAAAAATGTGTGAGCTGGAGGCTTAAAAACTGTGAGCTGGCTCAGCGTAGAGGGAACACTGCTCACAGGGTGCCTGTTGTGGGGAGGGGAAGGGAAAGGAGTTTGTAAGCTGCTCTGAGACTCCTTTGGGTAGTGAAGGGCGGGGTATAAATCCAAGCTCTTCTTCTTTTACCTCACAGGGTGTCTGTTGTGGGGAGGGGAAGGGAAAGGAGTTTGTGAGCCGCTCTGAGGCACCTTTGGGTAGTGAAGGGCGGGGTATAAATCCAAGCTCTTCTTCTTCTTCTTTTACCTCACAGGGTGTCTGTTGTGGGGAGGGGAAGGGAAAGGAGTTTGTGAGCCGCTCTGAGACTCCTCTGGGTAGTGAAGGGCAGGGTATAAATCCAAGCTCTTCTTCTTCTTCTTTTACCTCACAGGGTGTCTGTTGTGGGGAGGGGAAGGGAAAGGAGTTTGCAAGCTGCTCTGAGACTCCTTTGGGTAGTGAAGGGCAGAGTATGAATCCCATCTCTTCTCTTCTTCTTCTACGTCACTTGAGAGCCAGTTTGGTGTGGTGGTTACGTGCGCGGACTCTAATCTGGGAGAGCCAGGTTTGATTCCCCACTCCTCCACTTGCACCTGGCTGTATGACCTTGGGCAAGCCGTAGCTCTGATAAGAGCTGTCCTTGAAAAGGGGGCAGTTTCTCTCTTAGAGCTCTCTCAGCCCCACCTACCTCACAGGGTGTCTGTCCGGGTTCCAGCCTTGATCTCTCCTCTTTTTTCTCCTTTCCCTCGTTACAGTCAGTTCTTCTCCAATCCCCGCCTTCGATTTGCAGGACAGCGGCAAGAAAGTCTGTCCGAGGTGCAACGCCCAGTTTAGAGTCACTGAAGCTTTAAGAGGCCATATGTGCGTAAGTAGCCCCCCCGCTCCTCCCGGGAGAGCAGGACTTCAGAGATTTTGCTTGGCTGACCGCAGAGTGGGAAGGTGCCTCGGATGAATATTGCCAGAATACAAGGATATGGGTGCGGATGTGGGGGCACGCTCCTCGCCCAGCAGAGTTGAGGGGAGGTAGGCCTGAGACTCGGGTTGCCCGGTCTTACCTGCGTCCTGGTGGGGGGGGGGGGGGTTTTCAGCCCAGCTCCCGAGGTCTTCTGGCACACACCGGGCATGTTGTGCAGGGGACGCTCTAGCATTTGGGTAAAAAAAACTATGGTCACCATAGAGTTTTTACCCAAATGCTAGAGCGTCCCCCACACGACGTGCCCGGCATGCTGGGGTTCTTTGGGGACCGGCAGCAGATTGAGGGCCCCCAAAGCGGGAAGACCCCTGCTCCCATCGGGGGGATGGCAAACCTACCTGAGTCTTACAAGAGGAAGTCCTGTTTCACACAGTGAACGGCTTAGCATGTGGAACTGACTGCCACTGGGTGTTCGTTTAAAACAATTAAAAGCCTCCCTTTCTCCCACATAACTGGGATCCCAGGCGGAGCTCAGACGCTTTCGTGCTCTGTTCATCTAAAAACGGGTGTTATGGAAACAGTTTTCCAGAGGAAAAGAGGCCTGTCAGGAGCTGTTAGCGATGACAACCAAACTTCCGTTTAGAAGAATGTAACAAGAGCCCTGCTGGATCAGACCAGAGGTCCATCTCGTCCAGCATCCTACCTCACAGGGCATAGAGGCCAAGGCCTTCCCCCGATGTTGCCTGCTTGCACTGGGGTTTGGAAGTTGACCGCCTGTGAATGTGGAGGTTAAGAACATAAGAAGAGCCCTGCTGGATCAGACCAGAGGTCCATCTCGTCCAGCATCCTACCTCACAGGGCATAGAGGCCAAGGCCTTCCCCCGATGTTGCCTGCTTGCACTGGGGTTTGGAAGTTGACCGCCTGTGAATGTGGAGGTTCCCCTCAGCCACCACGGCTAGCAGCTGTCGATAGACTTACCCTCCTTGAATCTAACGAATCCCCTTTTAAAGCCGCTTATTCCTGTGGCCATCACGACATCTCGTGACAGCGAATTCCACATTTTAGCCACTCTCTGTGTAAAGTGGTATTTCCTTTTGTCCATCCTGAACCTACTGCCCGTCAGCATCATCGGATGCCCTCGAGTCCCAGTCTTTTTGGGAGAGGGAGAAGCAGTCACCGTTAGAGGAACAGATCCGTGGGATCACACCTGTGGGGTTGGATCCAGCTAGCTTTTTCATGGAATCCCATGTCATCCCCTCCCTTACTTTCGCTCCTCTCTCACGTGGCTTTAGTCCCCGACACATGAAGTGGCCTTATATTTATTTATTTATCAGATTTATACCCCTCCCTCCCCGCGAAGCAGGCTCAGGGTGGCTTCCATACAAGCATAAATACAGTTAAAACCATACAGTTATTTAAAACACAACAGATAAAACAAATACAAACACAAAGCCAGTTTGGTGTAGTGGTTAAGGGTGCGGACTCTAATCTGGGAGAACTGGGTTTGATTCCCCACTCCTCCACTTGCACCTGGCTGGATGACCTTGGGCAAGCCGTAGTTCTCTCAGAGCTGTCCTTGAAAAAGAGCAGTTTGTGTCAGAGTTCTCTCAGCCCCACCCACCTCACACGGTGTCTGTTGTGGGGAAGGGAAGGGAGTTTGTGAGCCGCTCTGAGACTCCGAGTGAAGGGCGGGGTATAAACCCAATCTCCTCCTCCTCCTCCAAAGTGCCGGCGGCAGTGAAAAGATTCACTTAGACGGCTCGTTTTCAAAATGAATTTCCGCTTCTCAGAGATGTTCTTCTCCTCATAATTTCTTGTGGCATCGTCTCGATGTCAAAACCGCCAGCCAGGGCTCTACGACAGCGGCGGCCCCCAATTAAATGCCTGGCGGAAGAGCTCCGTCTTGCAGGCCCCGCGGAACTGTGAGAGATCCCGCAGGGCCCTGGTCTCCTCTGGGAGCTCGTTCCACCAGGTAGGGGCCGCCACTGAAAAGGTGGTAGTAACTAGCCTGGCCTCCCTCAGGCCAGGGAGGGTCAACCGATTTTGAGACCCAGACCGTAGTGCTGTCTAGGGTATATATGGGGAAATGCGGTCCTGTAGGTATGTCAGACCCCGGCTATATAGAGCTTATACTGAATCAGGCCATCAGTGTCAGTATTGTCTGCTCAGACCGGCAGTGGCCTGAGGTCTTTTCCATACCCCCCCCCCCCCCCCCCCCCCGCCTTTGTCCTTGCAGCTGGAGATGCCAGGGACGGAGACCTTTTGCCTGCAAAGCAGAGAGGCTCTGCCACTCAGCCACAGCGCCCCACCCCACCCCCAATCACAATCATGTGATCATGCCAGTGATCAGAAGGGACCCCCGCACACACCTTTCTTTTGCAGCAGCAGAAAAGCCGGATGGATCCATCACATAATTGTTACTGGCCGGCAGGAGGGCAGTGTTTGAAAGTGGGAGACCAAGAGGGAGATAATAGATCAGTGGTGGCGAACCTATGGCATGGGTGCCGGAGGTGGCACTCAGAGCCCTCTCTGTGGGCACGCATGCCATCGCCCCAGCCAGGCCCCGACCATCATTAAAGTGTCGAATTCTCTGCCAAATAATTTTAAGGAAATGAAAGCATTTGAGATTGCTTTCCTTACTTTGTTTGGATCATCTTAAGTTAATGTATGAGTTGTTTTTTCTAAAGTAAAACCTCAGTATTCAGGTTAAATTGCTGTGTTGGCACTTTGCGATAAATAAGTGGGTTTTGGGTTGCAGTTTGGGCACTCGGTCTCTAAAAGGTTCGCCATCACTGTAATAGATTGTTATTTGGGGAGGGATACCCTGAAATGCCTTCTCCCCCCCCCCAAAAAAAAAAAACTTGCGCAATTTTACTAATCCCTGCCTTCATCTTCATCCCTTTCACATTTGCAAGGCCTACAACCTCCGCACTTTCAGCGTAAAGATAAACTAACAACTGCCCGGCCCAAAGAGCGTCCGTCTGTCCCCGACCAGGGCCACGGTGGAACCCTCTTCCGGGAGAGATCAGGGCCGTGCAGGAATTAGTTCAATTCCGGAGGGCCTGCAAAACTTGAGTTGTTCCGCCAGGCCTATGGTTGAGTGTGTGGGGTTCCCAGTCAATAAGACCTAACGGATTGCCCCCCCCCATGCCCCCGCCATTCCCCTTTTTCCAGAGGTTGACTATTTCCCCTTCATATTGAGTTGATGCCATCTTGATTTTATATAACTGATTATAGTGTTCTGTAGGTATTTCAATATATTATATTGATGATTGAATTATATGATATTTGGACATTTTAACTATATTTATAAACTGATGCTCCCCGCTCTGAGCCGGTCTTCGGGAAAGTGGGCTATATATATATATCAAATAATTCAATTTTTAATTATATATAATTAAATAATATATAATTAAAAATTGAATTATTTGATATATATATATAGCCCACTTTCCCGAAGAAACTATATTTATAAACTGATGCTACCCGCTCTGAGCCGGTCTTCGGGAAAGTGGGTAATAATAATAATAATAGAAGAAGAAGAAGAACCGGAGTATGTGGAGGAGAGCAGTAGTGTGCAGAACTGCTCTGAGTCCGTTCTGGTCTCTTGGTGGCGCAAAACCCCTGAACCTTCTCCTTGTTTCCTCCAGTATTGCTGCCCCGAAATGGTGGAATTCCTCAAGAAAGGGAAGCCCTCCGAGCCTGAACCAAATATCCAGTCCCCCAAGCCCTCCTCCCCGGAGAAGAACGCCGCCGTCGCCTCGCCCCCTTCCTCCACCCCGATCCCCGCGCTCTCGCCGCCGGCCAGGGTCTCCGAGCCAAGCGACGGCACGGGCGACGCCGCCCAGAGCAAGCTGATCATGCTGGTGGACGACTTCTACTACGGCAGGGACGGCGGCAAAGTCAACCAGCTGCTGAACTTCCCCAAGGTGCCGACGTCCTTCCGGTGTCCGCACTGCACCAAGAGACTCAAGAATAACATACGGTAATGACCGGGGGGGGGGAGAGCCCATTCTCTGAAGCCCCCCTTGACTTCGAGAGCTTTTCGTGTTGGGGAAATTGTTGCTTGCTGTTTTGCAGAGCACTGGGAAAACAAATCCCGTGAGTTATTTTCTCCTTTGAACGTAAGAACATGAGAGAAGCCATGTTTGATCAGGCCAGTGGCCCATCCAGTCCAGCATCTGTGTCAGACCGGGGCCAGAACTTTGGAAGGAGTGACATTTGTTTTACCAGACAAGGTGTCAGTCAGTCCGAATGTATAGTATATGAATAGAGTTGCCAGCAGTGTTCCCTCTAAGCTGAGTTAGTGTGAGCCTGCTCACGGTTTTTTAGCCTCCGGCTCACAGATTTTTGTCTCAGCTCAGGAAGGATGGGGCTCCAGAGCAAATTAATTTATGCTGTAGCCAAATCGCTTGCTCACAACTTTAAGGCCAGTAGCTCACAAAGTGGATTTTTTGCTCTCACAAGACTCCACAGCTTAGAGGTAGCATTGGTTGCCAGCCTCCTGGTGGGGCCTGGAGATCTCCTGGAACTAGAACTGATGAATCATACCATCAGTTCTTCTAGCTCAGAATTGTCTGCTCTGTCTGACTGGCAGTAGCTCACCAGAAATTCAGGCAAATAATGGTCTTTCCTGACAACTGCTACTTGAGAGCTTTGAGCTGGAGATGCCCGGGATTTTATTTTTGGCTGTATGCAAAGCAAGTGCTCTCCTACAGAGATGTAGCCCCTCCCCTTTTCTGCAGACCAACTGAGATTCCATTTTGATCCCTCTCAATGGGACCAGGGGTGAGATGTTCTACAAAGTCAAATACCTTTAATGGCATAACAGTAGGATACATAGAAATAGAATAACACAGCGTGGTTACGTAAAAGCACAGTAAACGATATGAATCATTCCTTTAGGAGCATAGATCTAACTTTGGCCGCTTTGGCAAGAAACTTGGCCACTATATCTGTAATATTAGGATTGGCATTTTTTTAATAAATGCTGAATGGCCTTTTCCTTATTAGAACTATAATTAGGAGGAAATGAAGATGACAACAATTCTTTGTGTATAATTTGCCCCAGACTGAGAGTTCCTATCTATACCTTGTGGCTAATAGCCACTGATGGATCTCTGCTCCATATGTTTATTCAGTTCCCTCTTGAAGCCGTCCATGCTTGTAGCAACCGCCACCTCCTGTGGCAGTGAATTCCATGTGTTAATCACACTTTGGGTGAAGAAGTACTTCTTTTTATCCGTTCTAACCCGACCGCTCAGCAATTTCATTGAGTGCCCACAAGTTCTTGTACTGTGAGAAAGGGAGAAAAGTACCACTTTCTCGACCTGCTCTATCCCATGCACAATCTTTAAACCTCGATCATGTCACCCCTCCGCCGTCATTTCTCCAAGTTAAAGAGCCCCAAGTGCTTTAACCTTTCTTCATAGGGAAAGTGTTCCAACCCTTTTATCATTCTACTTGCCCTTTTCTGCACTTTTTCCAGTGCTATAATATCGTTTTTGAGGTGTGGTGACCAGAACTGTACACAGTGCTCCAAATAAGGTCTCACCATCAATTTATACAGGGGCATTATGATACTGGGTGAGAGTCCAGGAGCACCTTAAAGACTAACAAAATTCATGTCAGGGGAGACGCTATCGTGAGTCACTGCTCACTTCTTCAGATACAGCTAGAATGTAAGTCCATCTGTCCTCCTATCTTGGAGAGTGGAGCGATTTCAGATGCTGAAGGAACATAAGAGAAGCCAGTGTTGGATCGGGCCCATGGCCCATCCAGTCCAACACTCTGTGTCACACAGTGGCCAAGAATACCAGGTGCCATCAGGAGGTCCAGCAGTGGGGCCATGACACTAGAAGCCCTCCCACTGTTGCCTCCTCCCCCCAAGCACCAAGAAAACAGATCATCACTTTCCCCAGCCTGAGAGTTCCTATCTATACCTTGTGGCTAATAGCCACTGATGGACTTCTGCTCCATATGCTTATCTAATTCCCTCTTGAAGCTGTCCATGCTTGAAGCCACCGCCTCCCCCTGTGGCAGTGAATTCCATGTGTCAATCACTCTTTGGGTGAAGAAGTACTTCCTTTTATCCGTTCTAACCCGACTGCTCAGCAATTTCATTGAGTGCCCAC